TCCGATATCTCGATCCAGAGCAATGCGGAAGGAAAATTAGCCACATTGAAAAGTGATGCTGATATCCAATCCGCACCTCAGAATATCATCTGGACAAAATCGGCTTCATTGTCAAGCCCAAACGGACCGTTCCACAAGATAACAAGACGGCTATAAATACTATTACTTATGTTATATAGTTTACATATAAGTTAACTATACTGTTGTTGTATACTATATTGTAATCAATCATTTTCAATCTATTTAACTAGGTATGAACCCGCCCGTCGGGCATATTTTTATTCTACTTACTATAATCGAGACTAACATAAAAAAATTAGTATTTTAATGATATTAATTATTAAAATATGTGGTTATTAGATAAATTTTGGATCAATTATTTTCTAAACCAGTCTAAACATAAACAAATTCTTGAAAATTATTTTTTTGAGTATAAATTTATTACTGAAGGATGTATTTAATTAAAATCTTACCAAAAAAGTTAGGTCCAAGGAAATGTTTCTGTTTTAATAAAAGAGATTATCTAACAATATATATTTTGTAGGTATTAATATCCATACTGTTTATTTGGTATAATCAAATGCAAACTCTATTCATTATTTTGGTTCGGTTTTAGTTGGTTTGATTTGGTTTTACCAAATTGAAAACTCCTAGTTTTATATTCTCTTTGTTCTTAAAAATGTATATTATGTATTTTATACATATTTAAATAATATTAAGTTTTCTGTATGTACCCAATTTTAATAATTCTATACCAACAGTATTTTTAAATAATTACAATTTTTAGTTGCAATTCAATATTTTAACTATTAACATTTCTATAAAAACATTCAAATATATATTTTTGAAGAAATTTTAATTTTAAAACATTTATTTTAGAAAATAACTAATACATTTAAATGACATGGTTAGGTGGCTAATGCAAATCAATTTTATAGCGGAAGTCACTAGACCAAAACGACTTCGTTAACACGTGTTTTCAGTCAATAGTATTTTAAATTTCAATTGGGATAAATTTATACCATCCCATCAAACATATTCAAGTATTTTTAATTTTTTTAAACTCGGTTCTGATTTGTTTTTGTTTTATTCGGGTTCGATTAGCATCTTGGGTTTTTACTCCGGCGTACGGCTTTGGTAATTTCGAACTTATAGAAATATCAGAAAAGTAACTCCCAAATATTTATTAAACTCAGATTTCAACCCAGTAGTTCCAGATTCACATCCATTTTGGCCAAAAACATAGAGAAAAGGAGGTTTGGGTCATTTCGGCAAATAGTTCAGTTTGACCTTGTCTATCACTTTCCAAGTGCATCTTTTTCTTCTTCCAGCGTTTCAACACCATGACCATTCTCAAATGGTAGCCTTTGTATGTTGAACTGACAAAACCAAACACACAGAGAAGACAAAAGGTGAGAGGCACTGTACATCTATCCCTTTGCTATCTATAGAAATGAGAGCAGCGTCGTCTATCTCTGATTCAGATGACAGTAGATCTCTAAGCGACTTTGAGAGGACGGCGTTTAGTTCCTACCAGAGGTTAAAAGAGGGAAAAGTAAGAGCCTACTTCAATTTAGCAAAAGACAAGAAGTGGTTTACAAGCACCTTGAGGTTCTGCTCACAACCAATTGTCTGGCTGTAAAGCCTCATACTCGTTGACATCAACCCATGAGCTCCAGTGAAATCTATATCACTGCCAATAGTCACATTGAGTATGGAGTGTAGAGAGCTTCCATTCGTCAGGCGTCTTTATTGTGATGAAAGTAAAGCTTGTCTCAGTTACAAGAAAAAAGAACAAGTAAAACTTGTCTGAATTAGCAGTTTTCCAGAGTATAGGATTTAAAACATCTATACTCTACGAAAGGAAGAGACTTTTTCGTTTAATAACCTGAGACAAGGAAGAGAGCCCCTGGAGAGTGGTGTTGTCAGTTGTGTGTTTCCACGTTTCGGCTGTAAGACCACCTACTACAGATCCTCAAACCTTCAAATTTTCGATTTTTTGCTCTTTAATAGACCCTTCAAATCTTTAAATTTTGAGGATCTCAATAGTGAAACCCTAGGTTGCATGGAATCGGAAACAGATACGTGGAAACGAAACGTATCGAAACGTGAAAACGAAATTTTCAAAAAAATTAGAAATGAAAACGTTTTAGAAACGTCTATAATATATCTGAGATTAATAAACATGTAAACTTATTTTTTTGTTTGATTTATCTAAAAAAGAAATTAAGTAATATAAGCATTTTTGGTACATTTTATTAAAATTATAATCATAACTAAAAAAGTAACACATGTTATCGTTCGATAAAACTATGGAGCGACTTTGTTCCAAATCAAATCATTATACTAAAATGATAACAAATATCAAAGATAATATCAAATTATATGATAATAAACATGTAAAATCATTAACATCAAATGCCAAATAGTTATTTTTACGTTTCTAATTAGAATTGCGAGTTTCTGAAATAGAATCGCGAGTTTCCAAATCAGAAACGCAAGTTTCCATCATGTTTCCAAAATGAAATTTTCAAAGAGTTTCCTCTAGTTTCCAAGAGATTCCGATTCCGAAACAGGAAACGGACCTTGGACGGAGTTTCCATGCAACATAGGTGAAACCTAACTAAAAATACTATTTTATTTTTCTTTTATTCGTTCTAATTATGTAACTTACATATAATTGTATTAGTATTTGTTTTTGTATCATTTTAATCTTTATAACAGAAAAAACTAACTTAAATTAAAAAGGTAACAATTTTTTTTGTCTTTTTCTTTCTATATCTTTTTCTAGAAACAATTCTCTTTCTAATTATTTATTATTTATTAAAAAAATTGATGTTATATGAATTTTAGAGAGATTAGCTAACCATGGAATTCTTACAAATATTTATGTTTTTCGGAATCATAAGTACTATTGTTACATAATTTGCTTTAAATATGAATATTTATCGAGATGTTTAGTAAATCACTAGACTCAGAATAGTATTTAAGACAAAGAATAATTGCGACTAGATGATAATCAACGTCATGAGCGGAGTGAGCTTTTTAAAAAATATGTTATATTTAAATATATATTTTGTTATCAATAATCTTTTTAAATTTGATTAGGGTTGGACATTCGGATATCATTTGGTTTGGTTAAATTCTGTTTGGTTTAGATCTTTGTGGGTTTGGTTCGAATCTTTGCAGATTCGGTTTGAGTTTAGGTTCGGATAACACATTTAATTTTTTTTTTAAAGATTAAAATTCATATATGCTTTAAATTTCTCAAAATATAAAAATAAAATTAATATATAACATATATATTTGAAAAATTAATACCAAAATACTTAAACTTAACATAAAATTGGTTTATCTTAAATATTTAGAAAAAAAATCAATAAATATTTCAAGTATTTTGGGTATTTAGAGTATCAGTTAGCTATTTTAAAAATGTACATTTAACTATTTTATATATTTCTAAGTATTTTGGAAAAAATATTTGGACCAAAATTCAATAAATATTTCAAGTATTTTTGGTATTTGGAGTATTGGTTAGCTATTTTAAAAATGTACAGTTAACTATTTTATATATTTCTAAGTATTATGAAATTTTTTAAAACATCTCATGTATTTTGTATATTTTAAGTATATCAATCTGGGTCTTCACTCGGATACCCAAAATATTTTGATTCAGTTTCGATTCTCTAAATACTAAAATTTTGAATCCGTTTAGATATCTGGTTCTTAACACTGTACTACTTTTTGGATTGGATTTGGTTCGGTAATTTGGATTCAATTTTTTTTGTCCAACACACTATTTTTTTTATTGTAACAAAATTTTAAACGAAAGAGATGATGGTTCATATTGGTTTTTGGTATACAACAATTTTTAAACCAAAACACATTCTATTATGTACGTGATCCGTCTAGTAAATCCTTGAGAATTGTTTAAGATCCATTAAAAACGATTAGCTCAACTAAAAAACTTTACTATTGATCACAAAATTTTCAATGTGAGATTTTTACCATTTTAATTAATTTATGGTTGTTTTAAGAAAATGTTCAAAATATAACAAATAAGAAAAAAATCTAAATTTTTTTGCTATATGATTAACGTGATTGTTTCATTTCTTTTAATAATATAAAATTAAATAACAAATAAAGAGGAAAAAAATTATTATCAAATCTTTATTATTAATAATAATTAATTATGATATATATGTTAATCATTTTAAGTAATTTTGTAGCTTTTATTTAAGGAAGTAATAGAGAGTATTCTTTTGTACATTACTAGTAAAATATGATAGTTAGTTTAATAAAAATATAACATATGATTAGTTGGACCAATATATTTCTCTAAGAGTTCTAAAAATTATTCTTATTGTGACAGATAGCTACAAAAAAATATTGTAATTCCAAAAATATAACGTATAATTAGTTGGACTAATATATTTCTCTAAGAGTTTTAAATTTTTTCTCATTATAATAGGTGACTAAAAAAATGTTGTTATTCTGGAATTAATATATAGAGGATATTCCGACTATACTTGGATGTTATTGTTCTTTAACTCGGTTAAATATTGGACTAATCGCTACTGTGGTCTCCACACTCCACTAGTAAAGAAATCTATATCATCTCACGCGGTTCAAAACCATTTTAAACGTTTGGAAATAAAAATAAACAAGATGCAACTAACACTAAGAGCATCTCCAGCAGCAAACACCCTCTGGCGCGATCCCCGAGGTAAGCTTTTTAATTTTTTTTTTTTTTTTTTTATTTCGTTTGACTTTTTCAAAAAAAAAAAAAAAAAATTCGACCAATCATGATCCGCCACGTGGCGAACTCGTGGCGAACCAGTATCACCACCGGGAGCTTTCATGATACAGGTTCAAGAAAAAAACAATTTTATATTGTTTTGCTTTTTGGGGAACCGTGTGAACCCCCCATTTGATACTCTAATGGGGGTGCTCTAAAGTAAAGCCTAGTTCCAAAGCAGGACCCACGTCTCAAAATACATTCAAACGTTGTCGTTTTCATCCCATCCTTCCTCCGAATCCACGCGACACCGCCTAACCTGCAGCGTCACAGCACGCGCCAGCTTGCCTTCAATTGCTCGAATCACTCCAGCTGCAACTCCTGTTATATCTTCCACCTTCTTTACACTCTGCCACGTCATCGCCTTCCTTGAGTTCCTAACACCGAACCAAAACGCCGCCGCTAAAACAACCTTCGTCCTTGCTGATCTCGACTTCCCAACTGCTAAAGCGAAAGACGCCAATGAAACGACAGCGGTTCTCGAATCTCTGTTTAGCCCCAACTCATCACACCAATTTACAAAAATACCCTCCGCCACGGCCTTGGCTCTCTTTTCCCTCACCATAGTCTTCCTCGTCGTCGACGACGAAAGCTCGGAGGTAGAGATAAGATCCAGCGAGGAGCAACAAGACGAAGCTGAAGACGAAGAAGTTCCACGGCAGGAGCAGGTTACTCTCGGAGGCCACGGGGAAAGATGACCGGAGATTTCGTCTCTGGTGAGAGAATTGCAGTCAGGGCAGATGATGCGGCGGACATGGCGGGAGAAAAGGAAGTTAGAGGCGTGGAACTTAACGTCGCAGGAGCGGCAGAGGAAGGCAGAATCTGCGTCGCAGTGGAGATGGGCTTCTGCACCACACAGCTCACAGAGTTTCACCATCTTCTTGTCGTAACCTAATGTATTCTTCTATGAGTGATTTGAAGAGGAGATGTTTATTATATGATTGAAGGAGAGAAACACGGTGGAGCTTTATGGTTCATGCTTGTCTTTGATAACATATATAGTGGCTATTATTTATTTCCTCTTTCCTGTAATAGAAACTTACGTCAGCCAGATTTTTATTTTAATAATTTTATTTAATTTATTTTATTGCGAAATGGGAAATGAATGAGTGGTGTTTGGAGAATTGGATGAATGTGACGTGTCGAGAGGTCTTGAGGTCAGTGAGGTTCTGTGGTTGTTTTGAAACCATTGCACTAGCCGCCATGTCTTTTCCTATGACGTGGAGACTTAGTCAACACCAACGTCTTTTCGAGTATATAATACTTGGTCATTGACAACTTGCTTCCATTTACATTTTTCTGCGTTATTTCTGTCTTTAGTATAATATACATTACTCTACCTTGTGGATTTTGTTTGCTTTTCATGGACATATACACATGTGCTTTGTTTTGTTATTAAGTTTAATACATATACGGTTAGACTAAAGTCAGGGAAATAATAAGAGATTTAAACTGAATAATACTCTCCAAAAATCATGGAAATAATGAGAGATTTAAATTGAAAAATACTCATAATATTATTTTTCTTAAGGGTAAAACACACAAGGTCTACAGTGTATGGCAAACCTGTTTGGTTATTGTGTCCTTACTAATACAAGTGTCTGTGGATTACATCCGGTCAATGAGGTAGTATTATAAAAGAAAGAAAGAGATCAAAGAACTTCGTATTAATAGTCAAGAATAAATAAATTCAAAAAATACAATAACTTAAAAAGATAATCTAAATGGATTCTCTTTACAAGTTTTCTAGTCGTCGGAGACGAGCTCGTCCTAGATAGGAGATGTCATCTTGGACTTCTGGTGTAGTTTCTGATAGTCGAAGGCGAGTTCACAAAAGTAGAGAGGTCGTTTTCAACTTTTGTGGTCTCTCCCTATTTCTGTATCCCCTTTCAAATGACTCCCACACCTCCTTTTATAGTGAAAGTACATCATTGTATTCTAGTGGAGCTATCATTTCGTTAATGGACCGAGTCTGATTTTAGGTCTAGAAGTTATAGGTTTTTGTGCTAGGCCCATCTCCAACAATAGTCCCCCCTCAGTTCGCCAAGTGTTGAATCTTGATGAATTCTTTTGGTTCTTTTGAGTAAAAATCAGGTCGGTGATAGAGCATAGATCGTCAAGTTTGGAAATGGTGAACTCGGGTTCTCGTGACATGAGATCGTCCTTGCCGTACGTAGATCCAACTTCCTTGTTGGTTCTTAGTGACATACAAGGCGTTGATGTTGGTAAGCGGAGGCATAGCTCCTCGCTGTTGTTGGTTAGCTGAGACGGAGCTTGTCGATGTTGCTGGTGAGCTGAGGTGGAGATCTTCGATCTCGTCATCGTTGGAGATCAACAGAAACTGCTTCTCATCAGAGAAAAATAGGAGGAGCTCGCTGTCGAAGGGCAGATTGGAGCTGATTGATGATGAATGAAGTGAGATGATTGGGCAAGATGGACAAGGTGAGATAGTTGAGGCGAGTTTAACAAAATGAGATCATTGTTGAGGTGGACGAGGTGAGATGTTCGCCAAGGTGAGATGGACGAGGTGAGATGGTTTGTCGAGGTGGACGAGGTGTGATGTTTGAGGCAAGGGTAATGAAATGAGACTATCAATGAGGGGGACGAGGTGAAATTGTCATCGAGGTGGGAGATGTGAGATGGTTCATCGAGGTAGTCGAGATGGACGATGTGAGATGGTTCATCGAGGTAGTCGAGGTGGACGAGGTGAGATGGTTCATCAAGGTAGTCGAGGTGGACGAGTTGAGATGGTTGAGGCGAGGGCAATGAGATGAGACTGTTGTCGAGGTGGATGAGGCGATATCGTCGTCAAGGTGGATGGGCTAAGACAATCATTGAGGTGTACGAGCTGAGATAGTCATTGAGGTGTACGATGTGATATTCAAAAGGATGTCAAATTTTTATTGGGCCTGATCCTAATATTTTTGTTGAAGCCGACCCATGACTGTTTAAATTATTATTTTTTTGTGGCTTTCGTGGTTAACAAACAGAGATGGATACGAAGTAAAGCTGTGGAATGGAGGTCGAGATGAGGTAAAGAACATAGCTCGTCATTGGCATAGGTTGAAAGAGAAGTCAGGTCACTGGTTCATGGAGAGTAGATTAGCTTGTCTATTTACGGGGTGGAGGTCAGGTCATCTCTCCGAATAGATCTTGGGTAATCGCACCGAATGGAGTAGGCAGTTCGGTGGAGATCTTGGGTCGCCGGGTAGAGAACTCATAACAGAACTAAGGTCATCTTTAATTGGCCTTTGGTCATCTATTGATATACCATGGATTTTACCCACTTTCAACCATGGTATATAAGTGTTTTAAGATATATTTATTATGTTTTAGAGTCTTATTAGAGTATTTACAGGTTCAGGTATGTTCTGGAGAAATATGGTGATTTTGGTGTCTTTTGGAGTCTTCTGAGTGCATAACTGCACATACGCGTCAGATTTTTAGCTATGGATGGAGATCTTCCCACCGTTAGATTGAGCCCATCGATTAACACAAGATAGAGCTTTGAGTTAGCTTTCCACTGCCACGGGTTTAAGGTCAATCATCATCATGTAGCAGAAGTTATGTTTGTTTTACTGAATAATGGTCAGTCTGCCTCGCGAGAGGAAGCTGTCGAGAAGATGAAGAAGAATCGATCGATGAAACATTACTTGTGTCGATTGATGGGGATCCAGAACACGGGCTGGTCATATTTTATGACTGATTTTGGCCCAGGAGTTACCACAAATTACTAGAATGCCCTTGGACGACCAGAAACCTTATTTATGTATTTTGTTAGCCATTGTTGATGGCAAGCTTTATTTTCATTGTTCTAAGTTCTAGGAGAAAAGGAAGGAACTTCTATCAGAGTCCTCCTGGAACTCCTTTGGTTTCTTTGGTTTTATATCTAGCTTTTATATTTTATATCTATTCATCTATGATTTCTATGACAACTGTCATGTCTGAATAGATCCACCTGTAAGGTTTAGGGTTCAGATAGGTTATAAGGGATTAGCCCCAAATATAGAAGTGCTAAGTTGTGATATTCATCATAGGATTGCTGTTAATTATTTGTTTTCTAGAGTCATGAACTAGAACCCTGATCTTAGAATCATTAGGCGCAATTGCGAACACTTGGTCTTTTCTCTGAACAGAATTCTATGAGCTAGGATTGCTAGGTGCATATGAAAGTTGATTTAGGAACCCTAGTGAACACATATTCAACCCGATCGTAAGGATTAAATAGAAACGCGTCGATCTATATCCTAATAGGATAATCGATCGACAGAGTGGAAGATGTATCGATCGATATTCCTATGAGATAATCGACCGACACTTTCTTGTGATCAATAAACGAAAGTTGAGATTCAAGATCTAGATATTAGACTATCTATACAACGAAGGTTTTTAGATTTGTACTCCCAGTTGAGTTCTAATATATCTAGCAGCTTAGTAACCTATATCATTATACTCCTGATTTCTTGAATAGAACCCTAGATCTAGCAAACCATCCTTCCATCAAACAACTCTCTGCCAAGCTGAACAACCTTGTTCATCTTGTTTACTGTTTTATTTATTTACTTGCTCTATTTACTGCTTTATAAACTATTAGCCTAGTTTAATCATAAACTGTATAGATTTATTGTGTGCCCTAGTTCCTTGTGAATTCGATCCTTAAGTACTACAGCTGAACCTCTTATTTGAGAGAGTAATTCACTCCTTAGGGTAATTTGAGTGATATCATCTATGTTGGTTCCAAGGTCGCCGACTCCAGTTTTATTCGAAGTTGGTCGCCCTGATACGAGGTCGTCGGTGCTTGATGGCCTTTATTAGATTCTCTTTATTTTGAAAAATGTATAAGTGTGAGCGCGTAGCTGCATCACTAGAGAACGAATCTCTTATTTTGTTTGCAAAGTCTTAAAGTGTGAGCACGGAGCTGCTGCCCTCTTGGGAACATATCCCAAATCTCTTTGCGAAATGTATAAGTGTGAGCGTGGAGCTGCAGCACTTTGGGAACGAATCCCGTATTTCGTTTGCAAAGTCTTGAAGTGTGAGCGTGTAGCTGCAGCACTCATGGAAACAGATGCCGAACCTCTTTGCGAAATGTATAAGTGTGAATGAAGAGCTACAACACTTTGGGAGCGGATCCCATGTTTCATTTGCAAAGTCTTGAAGTGTGAGCGCGGAGCTGCAGCACTCTTGGGAGCAGATCTCAACTCTCTTTGCGAAATGTATAAGTGTGAACGTGGAGCTGCAGCACTTTGGGAACGGATCCCGTATTTCGTTTGCAAAGTCTTGAAGTGTGAGCATGGAGCTGCAACACTCATGGAAGCAGATCCCAAATCTCTTTGCAAAATGTATAAGTGTGAGTGCGGAGCTGCAACACTTTGAGGTACGAATCATGTATTTCGTTTACAAAGTATTGAAGTGTGAGCATGGAGCTGCCACACTCTTGAGATTGGATCCCGAATCTCTTTGCAAAAAGTATAACTGTAAGTGCGGAGCTACAAGACTTTGGGTGCGGATCCCTTATTTTGTTTGCAAAGTTTTGAAGTGTGAGCGCGGAGCTGTAGCACTCTTGGGAGCGGATCCCAAATCTCTTTGCGAAATTTATAAGTGTGAGCATGGAGCTGCAGCACTTTGGGAGCGGAACCTCTATTTCGTTTGCAAAGTCTTGAAGTGTGAGCGCGGAGTTGCAGCACTCTTGGGAGCAGATCCCAAATCTCTTTGCGAAATGTATAAATGTGAGCGGGGATCGGCAGAACTTTGGGTGCGGATCCCGTATTTTGTTTGCAAAGTTTTGAAGTGTGAGTGCGGAGCTTCAGCACTTTGGGAACGGATCTCGTATTTCGTTTGTAAAGTCTTGAAGTGTAAGCGTGGAGCTGCAGCACTCTTGGAAGCGGAACCCGAATGTCTTTGCAAAATGTATAAGTGTGAGCGCGGAGCTGCAGCACTCATTGGAACGGATCCCAACCCTTGTGAAATGTAAAAGTGTGAGCGCGGACTGCAACACTTTGGGAGCGGATCTCGTATTTCATTTGAAAAGTCTTGAAGTGTGAGCGCGGAGCTGCAGCATTCTTGGGAGTGGACCCCGATCTCTTTGCGAAATGTATAAGTGTGAGTGCGGAGCTGCAGCACTTTGAGAGCGGATCTATATATCTTTGCAAAGTCTTGAAGTGTGAGCGCGGAGTTGCAGCACTCTTAGAAGCAGATCCCAAATCTCTTTGCGAAATTTATAAGTGTGAGCGCGGAGCTGCAACACTTTGAGTGTGGATCCTGTATTTCGTTTTCAAAGTCTTAAAGTGTGAGCGTGGAGCTACAGCACTCTTGAGAGTGGATCCCGAATCTCTTTGCGAAATGTGTAAAGTGTAAGCGCGGAGCTGCAACACTTTAGGAGCGAATACCGTATTAGTCTTGAATAAACAAGCTCAGAAATTACAAAAACTTAAAAAGATCGTCTAAACAATATCGTTTAAATGAATTCTCTTTACAACTTTTCTGGTTGTCGGAGATGAGCTCGTCCTAGATAGGAGAGATCACCTCGGACTTCTAGTTGTAGTTTTCTGGTAGTCGAAAGCGAGCTCAGCAAAGTGGAGAGGTTGTTTTAGACCTTTGTGGTCTCTCCCTTTTTCTGTCTCCCCTTTCAAATGACTCTCACCTCCTTTTATAGTGAAAGTACATCATTATCTTCTAGTGAAGCCATCATTTGGTTAATGAGCCAAGCTTGATTTTGGTAGTAGTTATAGGTTTTTGTGATAGGCCCATCTATAATAGTGTCTAGCTTGAAATCTATCTTAAAATGGTTCCTTGAATACCTAAAACAAAGTTTATAATTAAAGGTCTTTTGTATAGCCAAGCACATTAGTACATTACTCAGTTACAAATCACAATGCTGGTTCCAAAGGATTCACACTGTGACCTCTCCAGCGAGCGTGCTTACTTATGTTTCATCCGAACTAAGCGCCCCTGGCGTAATGTAACTGCTGGATTGTGTTGCTGGACACTGTTGGATCGTCCACGAGTCACCTGATCCTTCCAGGGCACGATCTTTAGTGGATGAGCTTCTGTGTTGAACACCCACTCGTCCAAAGAAATAACCGTTGTGGGCGAGAAGAGGAGATAGAGATACTTAAGCGTCTCAGCAAGGAAGAAACTCTGCATCTTGTTGTCCTTAACTCCCGTATTAACCTAAAAATAGTTTAAAGAAAAAGAAGAATCAGCCATCAAAACTATACTTATCGGATCTATTGTGGAGAGCCTAAGGAGAACTTACATCTTTCAAACCGACATATCCAGTCTCTATGCGCGAGTTTTTCTCAATAGCTTCAAATATATTCCATCCCCAATCTTGATATGTCTTGTTACCAGTTAACCTCCAGAGGTAAAACAATGATTCAACAGTCTCTGGTCTCAAGATGTTCGAAGACGTCCCAACACTCATATCCTGAACCATCATAGTGTTTGTGGATTGTCTTCTAAACAATAAAGTATATGGAAAAAGACAAACAAAGGACATACACTTCCAGAGTTGAAGACATAAGTCTCTCCAGCTAGTTTTGTTGGTGTTGATTCGTAAAAGTTATAGCATGTCCATGCAAGCTGCAGATAAGTGAGAAAACACACAAAATAAAGTCTAAATCTCCCATAGCTATTGATGAACTTTTGAATCAAGACATAGCTTTACCTCTTCAGCAAGGGAGAGAAACTTCTTTGCATGAGCAGGATCATTATACCCAGATGATCCTAAAGCCAACATTCCAGGAGCAAAGCAAGCCAATTCATCCATCTGAATATAGGTAGCAGGAAACATGAGAACTGGAACATATAACAATTGGCAACAATGAACATATTGGTGTTACCTTATCAATCAAAAAACTTCCACTCTTCTCACAGATATATGTAAAGGAAGAAGGTGTTGATTTCTTGATCAAGCTTACCAAACCATTCATTGATTTCTCCCACATATCTCTGATGTCAGGATTCCAACACATAACAATACTTAATATCAAAACTACAAAACCACCAAAGAGCAGAAGAATATTGATATCAAGGACAAAGATAGATGTGATGGCATCAGCTTTCTCCTTGATATCAGTACTCTTCTTATCTTTGACTTATATATAATCAGTAGAAAAAGGTTAGATCTCACCTATAGTGTTTTACTGATAAAGTTTTGCTCCCACACCCAACCTTTGAGTAAATATTCATAAAAGCTGTAGGCAAAATATTAGCCGTCACATATCAAACCAGAGCAAAACTAGAATGGATCCGTTGAGAGAAAAAACCTGTCTCCCCCTCCACCAAATGTTATGGTTGAGTATGATGGTTCAGCTGTTTCAGGATTTATATAGAGTGGAAGTAAACCATCAGCAGAGTAATTCTTATTTAGTACTGAAATAACCTTTTCTACCTGATAGACAGAGTTACAAACATGTCAAACATACCAATAAGTATGTAATATGTGGTAAGTTAATCATGCTACAAGATAATGGAGAAACACACCTTTTGCTGATATTTAGGGTCCCCTGTCCTCTGAGAAAGGGCAATAAACTCGAGGTGTTCAGTTCCAGATTCTGCAAGATTACTATCTCCCTAGTACAAGAAACATGTAAAACACAATCAACTAATCTTATATGCCACATGTATTAAGACAGATAGCGCTTTAAGTAATGTAGGACTTACCCCTGTCCATGTAGGGTTGTGAGCGTTTCCATGTCTCAAGTTGATAATATTATATGGTATACCTGAAGGAGAGTCCCATGCCGGCAATAATCTGTCAGCTATATCCTTAGCCTTTTCAAGGAAAATTTTATCCCCTGAAAGATCATACGAGCTGAGAAGCCCTCCCACCATTCTGAAAGCCAACAAAGAGAAAAGATATAAGCACACAAGCAGCACTTAAAATGGTTAACTTGTTAAATGCAACCTTATGGTTGTCTCAAACATACTGGCGTTATAGTCCTTGTTGAAATCTAATGATGTTGCAACCCACCTGCAAATGAAAGACTATAAGCATTTATACCATGCTAAAAAAAAAAAAAAAAAAAAGATCTTCCTAAAAAATAGTGAGGATGGAAGAGATCTACTCACTCTCTGGCTTTCTTAAACTGCTTGTGTAAACCCATTATATAGAGTGTGTCTAATGCATCTATTATAGTCGCTCCTAGGCCACCAAAGCTATCAACGCCATCTTTTGTCTGTGGCTAAAAAAAGAAAGAAACAATATAGCTTCACAGACACATATATGTATTGGCATTGCACACCGCTGCATAAGCTGAAAGCATTGCAGCTAGACATACAGTTTAAGAAGAAGCTGTACCTGAAGCTCGTCTTTTCCCCAAGCATACTTTTCATATGAACTCCAAGCATGAACCATTGCTTCTTTTACTCTCTGCATTCGTTGAGCATCAACTGGATCTTCCTTGACGTTCTTCAGTGTCCTCATAGTTAAATCTTCCTTGACACTTTTTACATCTCCCAGCTAGCAGAAATATATAATTAAAAAAATTCGAGAAAGATCCGAAAGTTTCTCAAGATCAAATAAGCTCTTAAGTGTTGTGGATCTTCTTACCATCAGCTGCAACCGCAAGACTTGTTTATTTAACTTAGAAACTTCAAACTGCAACACATAAGTGCAAGAAAAAAAAAACACAGTAAGACACATTCTCAATTCAAACAAAGAGTTTAGGATTGGATTGTGATTTTCCTCAGGAGGTTGAGTCACACCACCTTACTACTCTTCATTAAACTCGATTAGCGTCTGTCTGTTGAGCTGATATTCAACAGAGAAGAAAAGTACCTCGTGATCTCGGCCACGCGTTTGACGGTCCCAAACGACCATGGAAACAGAGATGAAGAGGATGAAAAGCAAAGCTAGACGCATAGTCCTTCCAAGATTATAAGCAGAGTTGAAGTACTTCCATATCCCATGACCAATGACCAGTCTGCTCCTCGCCATCTCGATAAGAACTTTGAAATCAGTAAGAATCAGTTAGGAAGAAGAAACATTGGTTTGTTTTTGTCAAGATAGAAAGAGAAAAACCAAACAAGTTGGGTGGTGAAAAGTGTCGGGAAGAATATAAATAGAAGAGAGCGTCCTTTTTTTAATTTTTCTTTTTTAAGTTTAAATAACGCTGACCGCCGGTGTACATAGAAGTATGAGACGGGCTACATTGACTTGGGAAGATGATGATACTTTTGTGGAGATTATGGTATTTTGTCCCCGTCAATTGTTCTATCATCATAATACAGCGTTTTGCGTTTGGTTCTCAAGAATTTTCAATTGGTTTGACTTTCACAACAAATTAGGATAAGACCTGCACCTTGCGCAGGGTGAATACATATAAGTAAAATATAAAATTTTAATATTGACAAATTTAAAATTTACATATAATTGTTTTTATATGTATTTGAAATTTTAGATTTTATAATTTTTATATAATTATATATACGTAGGATCAGAAACAATTGTAATTAGAACTGTAGATCAAAGCTTAGAATTTAATGAACCCGACTTCATATATGTTTTTAATTTTCAGTGTTCGAGTGATGAAAAATAAACAGAGTGTCACTGGGCTTGATTGGTAGAGTATTAGCAAGCTCTCTAATACTTCTTAAGAAACATTTGGTAAAATATTTGCATTTAAAATATATAAGTTTCAAAACTAATTTAATATAATTTATTTATTTGACTAATAATATTAGAAAATTATGTTTTTTACAAATTAAAAAAAAAGTTTTATAAAAAACTAAGTTAAATTTTAAATCATTTAAAAAAACATTTTAAGTTTTTCAAATACAAATAAACAATTTAAAACTAATTATGGTCATGATTTAACATAACCATAATGATTTAAAAAATTAAAAAATTTAAAATTAACAAATTAAACATTAATTCAGTTTTATATCATGATTTAACAATTTAAAAACAAATTATGGTTATGAGAAGTTTACGTTCACGTGTTAATCCTATTTATCTTCAATTTTTTCTCTTGTTGTGTTTTTTTATATTTTGGTTATTACTCGATATAAATATTTATTTTGAAATTTATTCTCATTTTGTTTGTTGTTTTGACCTGGGATTTAGAAAATACTTAAGATTTAAAATAATTAAAGAGATACATACTTAGGTTAAGATCTGCACTTTATGCACAATAAATATTTTATATTTATTTTTTATTTTATATTTTTCTGCATATTATAAAATAATAAATATATATATTAAATAACTAAACAATCAGTTACTATTATGTAATAAATTGGCGTATGCATATTACATTTAACTATCACTCTTGTTTATTCGCAGTAAGGGTAAATAAATCAAAATAATCAATCATATATATTGTATATGATATATAAATAAATTTAAATGATATAAACATATTAATATAGCACACTTTTAGTATGGATATTTATTAAATGAGGTTTCTACTCATATGATTTTATGATTATTTGCATATTTGTGTAACAAAACTTTACATCAGCGATTTTTTTAAACGTGAGATGTTAAGTAGTTTCAATAATTTATAATTATTTTTAAAAAACAATGACATATTTCAAAATTAAAATATTAACTTTTCAATATATGTTCAATTCTGATATCAAAATATAAGTATGTATTTTCATACGATGTATAGTTTAATTAAAACAATATGAAGTATATATAAATTAAAATTATTTCTTCATATGGTCTTATAATCTATATTTTAATATAGAAAAAAATTAAAACCTTGATCCTAAAATTTTATGTGAGATTTTTAACAGTTTTAGTAATTTATACTCATTTTGAAAAATTCGAAATACAACATACACACAAAAAAATCTAGATTTTTTTTATATGATTAATGTAATTGTATAATTTATTTTAATAATAAAGAAATAAACAAAATGAGAAAATATACAAATTTTTATCAAATCTTTATAGTTTAAAATCATTAATTGTCATATATATATATTTTAATCACATTAGGTAATTCCGTAGGTTTTGTTTAAGGAAAGCATGCGAAACAATAAGTTTTTGATATATGCGACCAACTATAGCCTACGAAATATTACATTGTTAGAAAGTATAAATTTTAAACTATACATTATATCACATGCTTTAGAATCCTTGGGATTTGAAATAGAAACCAAAGAGCTATGTCACATAGGATTAGTGTTATTTTTAATTATTACAAACTTAAGGTTACAACTTTTTAAATGATTCTCAATTAATATATAGGGGATAAGATAATACTAGAATAAGACTTGCGCAAGGTGCATGGTGAATGTATATAATTAAAATATAAAATTTTAGTATTGATAAATTTAAAATTTACATACATTTGCTAAAAACAACATAAAATTTTAAATCAAATGCAAAAATGTACCCAAATTTCAATCAAATGCAAAATCAATCTAAAGGGATAGAGAAATGTCTATTTACTCCCGATAACTAAACAAAAAACTAGAATCTTATTTTACAATTTTATTTTTATGAAGTCTACATTTAATAGAGAGAAGTATACAAGGTGTAGACTTATCATGAAGTCAATATTATAGACTTATTACGAAATCTACATTCTAAGTTAATCTTATAACTTTATTTTTAAAATATATAAAAATAAATTGTGTGAAATTTCTTTTAGGTTATCAATATAAGAATCAATATGAGGTATATAAATTAAAATTTCATATAATTAAAATTTTTTAACGAATATATACTGATTATGTAACAATAATGAAATAGTCATAGTAGATTTCAAAGAAAGTCTACTAAGTCGTAGACTTCAAAAGAAGTCTATACTATCGAAATTTTTAACCTAGTTACACTTTTTGTCTCCCTATATAAATGAAATTTAGGCTATCACTCTCTCAAATGGCTGCACAAGTTTCTAAAAAACTCTCACCTCTCTAAAATTCTCTCCCTTGTCTCTAAAACTCTCTCATTACTCAATTCTTTGAAGGTGAAGATGAAATTTTGTTTTGTTTGTTAATTTATCTATCATGTATTTTTCACAATATTATCTTATGTTTGTAGGTTAATTCATGGTTATCACCTTCCACTCTAAAATGTAATTCTTATATCTATAGATTTTAAATGTGTACTTTTATCTTTATATTCAAATAAAGTTACAAATACAAACTCTTTGCAGTTACTTTGCTAATATTTGATCTTATAAATTATATTTTTAAAGTTTTGTTTTCAGATTAAAAAAACTATATTCCACATTTTCACATGTACATAGTTTCCAGATCTGAAAATTATCCGATATAGTATACTTGTAATGAAGTCTACAAAACTAGAAGTGACTTTTTTTATGTATAATGTTTGTTCTTATAATTTTATCTTTATTTTCTTAATATTTTCTTCCATGGTTTTTATCTAGTTTTCCCAAAAATGAAAGATTCACATTTTCAATTATATAAGTTTTTCAGATCTGAAAATTATCTAATACATAATAAACTTCTAATGAAGTCTACAAGGTTATGATTTTAATTGTTTATCTTATGTTTTTCATAGTTTCATCTTTATTTTGCAGGTATTTTCTTCCATGTTTTTTTTTCTCTTCCACAAAAAAATTGTAAGATTTACATCTATAATGTGTATTTTTCTTTTTATATTTAATAAAGTTACATATTCAAACTCTATGTCTATAATTTACTACTAAATTATTTTACAAATTCTATTTTCTAAACTTTTCAGATTTAAAATTATTTTCATGTTTGTAATGTATATATTTTTCAGATCTAAATTTATTCGGATTGAGTAAACTACAAATGAAGTTTATTAACTTTAACTTTTAAACAGACTTCATTAGAAGTCTACTCAAATATGATTTTAATTTTCCTGTCTTATATTTTATTCATAATTATATTTTATTTTGCAGGTATTCTCTTCCAAAGTTTTCAAATCACATTCCAAAAAATGTAAGATTTACATATATTCATTTAAAATTTTATTTTTTTTGTTTATATAAAACAAAATTTATAGATAAAAGCTCTATGCTTTTTCTTTGCTCATTTTAGGTTAAACACTATTTTGAATTATTTTGCAGAAAATACTATTCTCTAATTTTGTAATTCTACATTTTTAGATCTGAAATTGTTTTTGGCATGAAGTTTATTTTAAAATTAAGGCTAGTAGACTTTAAAGAAAGTATATTGAACCCATCATCTTTAAGTAGACTTTTATGAACTCTCCTAAAAATAATTGGAATATGTTTACCTTATGTTTACTCATAATTTTGTCTTATTTTGCAGGTACTCTTTTCCAAGATTTCATTTGAGATATCAAGATTATGAATAATCAAACACTCTAGAGTTTTAAAAGAAATTGCTTTGTAATAATTTATCTTTACAAAATATTCATTTGTAAATAAATATTCTGATACATAATCAATAAACATTGTATTAATCTTTGAATTGTGCTGCATTTGTATGATATTATTAATTTTTGTTTGCAATCAGTTTTTCAGAAAATACTCTAGTCAGCCAAACAGTTAAAAACCACCATAAGCTAAAACAACAACTAACACACAATAATGAATGTGTTAAAATTATGTAATCCGAAGACTTGTTTTATAGCAATTTTAGAGATTTTGAACACAAAATAGACTAATAATACAAAGTAATACAACTCCAATAGCAATAAAAGAGAACATATTTTAGTGTTTTTCTATTTTCCTACCTGTAGACTAATAAAAAAGTCTACTTTTGTTGTACACATTTAAAAAAGTCTACATTACGGAAATCATGCTTGTTTAACACTTCATAAGAATACCGAAGAAACCTACAAATTAAACATAAGTTCATACACAACAACAGATTACTGAGCCATTTCTTGTGGAAAAAAAAAATGAAAATTTACATAGTTAGCGATCATGTTTAAAAAAACTATAAAGTAGACTTACCAATACGTCTACGATTATTAGCTAACTACATGATCAAATAAAAAGTATCATAATTTCATAAATATAACATATTTTCTTTTAAAAATCACTAAAACATATTAGGATTAACTAACACACACTGTCAAACAAAAAAAAAATCTTGAAAAAACTTAATGAATAATACAAAAATT